AGTAACACACTTAAATTCATGTAGTCAGGGCGCCATGGAGAAAAATCATGTCAGAGTAGTTGCCATGAAAATATTTATAGAAAAGCAGAGAGAAGCCATGTTACGTCAGTGAGAAAGTGACTGAAGTTTACATTGCAAATCCTTCTTTGGATTTTGTCAAAAACCTCGAGATGAATAACAGGAGCACCAGACCAGATATGGCAGCAGGATTCAATGCAAGGACGAATGGTAGATTTATAAATGTGCAAGATGGATTCTGAAGAGAAAAACCTGGTACGATACAGTGACCCAACTTTCCTTGTAGTAGATGCAGCTATTGATACAGTACAATCGTTCCACTTCGAGTCCGTTGAAAACGTGAGGCCAAGAAGGTGTAGTGTGTCGCTCTCTAGAAGCCATGAATATCAGAACGAGCATAGGACCAGGATAGGGCCTTGGGAGGACACCCACGTTCGTGTAAAAGAATCTGGAAGCGGCCCCATTCAAAACGATCTTTATTTCACGATTTTATAGGAATGACTGGATTAAATCAAAGAATCGTCCTGTAATACTGTAGCCATGAAGCTTACGTAGAAGACCAGCGTGCCAAACCCTGTCAAACGCCTTTGAGATATCTAGAGCCACAGCTCGAGCTTCGCTGTTATTATCAAGAGCTTGATATACATATTCAGTGATTCGGTAAATCTGGCAAAACATAAAACATATTGTTTTTCAGAGAGTGGGTGATGAGTAGTAAGATGCTTAACCACTTCAGTATTGATTAACAACTCGAATACTTTGCCGAAATGCGCTAAGAGACTAACAGGGCAATAGTTGGAGGGGTCAGAGTGTTCTTTTGAGTTCTTGAAAACAGGTACTACAGAGGAAGACTTCCAACAAGCTGGAAAGATGCCCGGTAATAGTTATAAAATTTGGAAAGAACTGGAGTCAGCTCGGGAGTACATTTCTTTAGGACCTCAGCTGGTATCCTATCACCCCTGCTTGCCTTATAGGAGTCTAATTTAGAAATGATGTCTGAGTCCAGGGACGGGGTTATGCGCATATCACTAGGTAGAATATCTTTTCTGGAAGGGAAATCAGGTATGAGTACTCCAACTGAGTCGAGTGTTGATTTGAAAGAGAATTTCCGAGCAAAGCATTCAACTATATCTGCTGTAGATATCAGAACTTCGAATTGATTTAATAGAGGAGGTATTGAGGATTTGATGTTATTCGGCACACTCTTGAACAGCCGCCAGTAATCTCTAGAACGCTATATGTTGCTTCATTCTATCAGCAAAACAGTAACTTCGCTTGTGTAAGGACACGCTTACACTCGTTACGAGCAGAGAGAAAGAGACGTCTGTTGCAATCAGACGTGTCACTCTGGTACAACCGGAAGATGTGATTCCTGTTGGTTATAGCGACCAAACATTCAGGTAAAAACCAAATAGATGGACGCAGTTAAATATGGCATTTCCTTGCTGGAATGAAAGCATCGATGCCGTATTTCACTCAGAAGATCTCAGACGCGCATTTTTAAACAGGATGATTAAAACCTTCACTCGAAGGGATATCACGAAAGAAATCACGGAACGAGTCCCAATACGTTCGTTGATAACATAAATATATTCTGTTGGCAGACGGTTCTTGGCTGGGGGGGGAGGATAGAGATGTTTACAGACACTACCGCATGATCAGCGTTGCCAAGAGAGCAGAGCTTCATAATATGACACAAGTCAGGGATAGACGTAAAGAAGAGATCTAAAAGAGAAGCGTGTCCGTCAGGGTTACCGGGGTAACGCGTGGGGAAGTCCACCACTTGCATGAGAGATTGAGTGATTGAGAAGTTCAGGTTTTGGATACTAACAAGGTCAGTGACACAGGGTTTAAACCACCTGACATGGTGATCACTAATGTCACCGAACACAAATATATTTGCAAACAAGTGTAGGGAGATTCCAGTGAAAATACATGACCGACGATACAATGTGATTATTCTACATGACAAATCTCGCCCCGACGTCGCTAAAATGACCAAATATGCAATTAAAGAGCTCGGTTTGGGATGTTCTACCACACCCACAATATTCTCTTGATTCTCCTTCTGACAACCACCTTTTTTGGTCGCTTTCTAACGATGTGGAACTTGAAATATGGCTCGGCGAATGTCTCGAGTCACAACCTAGTTATTTCTATTGTCGAAGCATTGAACATTTGGTGGATCGTTGACAGGAGGTCGTAATCAATCAAGAGGAACACATTGTTGAATGATTTACCGGAACGATTAATACATGATAAGTATTAAAATGAATTATTAGAAATGAATTATTTCATGTAACAACATAAAACTTTATAATAATAATCATAATAATAATAATAATAATATATATATATATATATATATATATATATATGAAAGCAGGCATGTCTGAAGATTGCGTTTAAGCATGAAACAGACTGTTGCTGCTGGGTTTTGAGACAAATATCCACTTTTATATTTACATACGGTTTGTCTGTGATATTGAGCACTTTAACTTATAGATATCAGTCACTTATGTGTCATACATGATACACGCTTTCGGTACACGACTAACGTGGCAGATTTTTTTTCACGTAGTAGTTTGCCATTTCTTTCTGCAGTAGAACAGTTGCCACCCTGCAATTTCCCCATGCTGGGGAGGAGAAAAAGAGGATTCCTACCTTTTCCAAGGGTATTAGCACGTAAGTGAATGTAATGGATTCGACTGGAATTCGAAATCGGCTCTCAGATTCCTCAGTCCGAGCCGATATATATATATATATATATATATATATATATATATATATATATATATATATATATATATATATATATATATATATATATATATATATATATATATATATATATATATATATATATATATATATATATATATATATATATATATAATGGAGTAATAGATAGCCATCGGACTGAGGAATGTATATATATATATATATATATATACAGTGGAGTAATATATATATATATATATATATATGTGTGTGTGTGTGTGTGTGTGTGTGTGTGTGTACACAAATGAATCTCCTTTTCATACGTCAAACTTTCTTTAAAATGCAATTCGTTTTACGAATTATTCTCTGTGTAATAAATTTATGGCGACAGCTTTGACGCTTGGACGCAATTTTCAGGCCATATATATATATATATATATATATATATATATATATATATATATATATGTAGAGAGAGAGAGATGTTAATAACGTTAAAATTTTAATTCGGGTAAATATACACGGCACAACCCTCTAGACATTTGCCTGTATGGAAAGTAGGTATACCGTTATAAAAGCAAGACTATTATAATACAGTTAATACTGGTATAATGCTTACTGTATACCCAATTTTGCAGCCCCCCCCTCCTGTACAGTTATATTTACAGCTAGGCATGCAAACACCTAAATGTATATGCGTGTATATACATCTGTATCTGTTTTTTTATAGAGAGAATTTAAATATATAAATATTAAAATATACGAATGTTGATATTTCTTGATGTATATCTTGAAGCATTTGTTTTTATCTACGAAATGCAAGTAAAGCATATCTTGTGACGCCAGAGTTTAAACCAATATCAGATTTTACAAACCTGCTTAAGTTCACGCCATTCTCACTTAGAACATTGACGCAATACAATCTTAAGCTAGCATTTTGTCTTCTTCGAGACTAAGCTGGGCTTAGTAAAAATCTTCATGAATACACATATTGAGTTTCATTCATCAGAATAAGATAATTTGCGTATTAAAAACAATTTTTCAACATCTTATCATTTACTGAGGCTCAATCGTCGAACGCTGGCACGAAAGTAGAAAAATATGCAACACTCTCAGCCTCAAGTTGTTTTGATGAGCTTCCCTCCTCAGTGACTCGACAGCATGAATTTAAGCGTGCGACTGGATTGGCAATTAGGTCTCACCGTTTTACTGTTGAACTAGCTAGATGCAACCGTCTGTTCTATTCTAATGGATTCTTTTCTTGCACTTCCGGTTGTGGAACTCTCTTCCGGTTTCTTCCTTCCTTGCCACCGACAATCTTCAAAAATTTCTGATTTCCTGAACCCTATTCCTCCTCTATTTTCTTTTCCACTCACATCTCCCCCCTATAATTTTCTCATTCTCTTTCACTTCCTGTAACCTCCTGCGTAATAGTGACATTATCGCTTTCGTTAGAGTGAAATTACAGTGTAACCCGGATATAAGAGACCCGGATATAAGAGAAACCCGGATATAAGAGAGATTTTCTCTGGTCCCAAATTAGAGCCTGTGTTAATGTATATAAATTAGACCAAACCCGGATATAAGAGAAACCCGGATATAAGAGACTTCTCTGGTCTCGACAACTCTCTTATATCCGGGTTACACTGTATTAAAAAAAAAAAAAAATAGGTTCATTCATTAATTTAATCATTAGATTTTACCCTCCATTCTTCGCATAAAAGCCATTGATTGATTGATTCGTTTTTTAAGGTTTATCAATTTTTTGCAGGTTATTTAAATCCTGAAAATATTTTTAGATTACAAGAATTATTAGGAGGCGGGGAGATAATAATGGTTTAGTGATACCAGTCTTACTAATTAACCCATATGGGGGGGGAGAAGTGGATTCATACCTTTGCTAAGGGCATTTTCGCGTAAGTGAATATAACAAACTCAACGGGATTTAGAAGTCGGCCCTCCGATTAACATTACACCACCTGTATATCCAGACTTAGAGAATTTGATATTCCCAAGCGGTCACCCACCTAGGCACTGACCAGTCTCGACGTTGCTTACTTTCTGTGATCGTAAGAGAATCCGCGTCTGAACGCGATATGGCCGTAAGCTTTACTACCGACACATCCAAGATTACAATTTGTATTCCCAAACGGTCACCCATCTACGTACTGACAGGCTTGACATTGCTTAACTTCGCTGATCGTAGAGAAGCGGTGTTTCAATGTTATATGGCCGTAAGCCATATCACCGGCACTCCCCAGCTTACAACGCCTGGTATTCGCAAGCGGTTATCCATCGAGGTACTGACCAGACTAGACGTTGCTTAACTTCCTTAATCGTACAGGAACTGGTGTTTCAATGTGATATGGGCGAAAGCCTGCTGAAAAGCCAGGATTACGAATGATGATTTTCAAAGAAAGCATCTTTCCTAATTAGAACATTGACGCAATACAATCTTAACCTAACGTTTTGCCTTCTCGGAGTTGGGCCTAGTAAATATCTTCATAAATATAGGTATCGGCCTTCCAGAATTAGAGTGACAGAAGATTATTTGCGCAATATTGTATCTATCTAGTTTCATTAGTAATAAGGCCTCTTTGGTCAGTATGTAAATAAATACATATACATTTCCTTGTAAGAACTCTAGCAAATATGCCTGTCTTATTCTATAAGACATTTTATTTGTTCGTTTTTTTGTTCTGAATATTTGCTAATATCAACGTAGTAAAGTAAAAAACAAAATGGTGTGGAGGATGGGATCAAGAATGTATTGATTGTTTGCTTTTTACGAATTATCAACCCTTTGTAGGTTATTTAAAGCCGAAAAAATTTCGGATTGTAGGGAATTGTTTCCAAGCGGGGATCGAGGAAGATTCTTTCATGTCAACGAGAACATCTATGTCTTAAAAACAAACTGTCAACATTATTAATTTTTACTGAGATTCGATCACCAGACCCTGGCATGAAATTGGAAAATATGCACATTCAAATTAAGCCATGATTTTGCATGCATTATTAAAAATTTAGATTTACGCTTGTGTAAGTGAGATCGCACAATGAGGGTTGGTGCTAATAAAATAGTGCTCGATGTATAATAACAGAGCTATAATTTATATTAATAAGAAAATGCATTTTTCCACACCGGTAGCACAGCACTGAGTTTCATGAACAACGCAATCATCAGGTGATGATTGAAAACGAAAAAAATTTTCAATCAGCACCTGACAATAACGTTGTGCTACCAGTGAAGAAAATGTATCTTTATTTAATAATAATAATAATAATAATAATAATAATAATAAAGTTAATGGTCAGATTTGAATTAGACCAAGAAACAGTAATATTCACTGACATCTCCTGAAGATAGCGAATAGCGAAAGGTTGAAACCAAGGTAGCGGAATCGGCTGATCTCTTAATTATATATATATATATATATATATATATATATATATATATATATATAAATCCAAAACTTTAAAAAGCTAAACCTTACAATAATCATCGTAATATCTGCAACCTTTGTCAACTAGAAAAGTTAGCTATAATAACATTTCCAGGCCAAAGGAAAAAACATTTTGAATGAGTGATTGGAAATTATGACTCGTTGCATACACACTAAAAAGTTCCTTTTGATTTCATATGAACCGGGATGAAAAAAAAAGTATGTACATTTCATTTACCCCACACACACCAATACATTTCCAATACCCTTGCGTTTCTTCTTCTCCTCCTCCTCCTCCTCCTCCTCCCGTTCTATCACACTTCACGTCGTGCGTTTATTTATTTATTTTTAAATAATAAAACGTTTATTATTTTTTAGGAAAATAAAGCCTTAGGAAATCAATTAACCGAAATTGCCTGAAGATACAAAAAATATTAAAACCAAGGAAGCAGAATCGGCTGCTTTCCTAATTTTATATATTAGCAAGGTTGAATGAATGCATTTAAACTAACCATACTCTTCCTCTGTAGCTAAATAATATAGCACGTCAAGCTATATGACGGTTACGTGTAGGATATAAGTTCGATTCCTGTCGGAGGACATATGTTTTATAAAATTTCTCGGACATTCAAGCCAGTAAATGTTGTTAATACTGCTTATTATAAACAGAGAATTTACTTAAATATCTAAGTGAATATATGGTATGGTAAATATATAAGTATCTGTAAAAATAACGTATAAACAATAACTATAAAACTATAAAAATAAACGTATAACTACAAAACTATAAAAACGTATAACTATAAAACTATAAAAATAACGTATAAACAATAAATATATTAAAATAATTCTCGGACTTAGTCCATTTCATTATATATATATATACATATATATATATATATATCCTGTCCCAAAATGTATTGTTTAGATGCCATGGAAATATAACTAAATGTCATATTAACAGAATCTATCTTACACCTACACCATTCGTTCATGCATTGAATATTCCTGTCAAATCTGCTCTGATCCTTCTGCAATGTATATAAAGATTCTTGATAAAACCCAAAGAAGAATCTGCAATCTTATCAGTTCTGACCTGGCGTCTCGGCTACAATCACTTTTCCGCTGCTGCAACATTGCTTCCCTGTGACTTCTATAAATATTTTCATGGTAATTGTTCTGATGTTCTTTGGTACCTCTACTTTATGAAATTAATTTCAGTTCTTTTATTGATCAGTCTCCTTAATTTTGTTTTCTCAGGTTCTTTCACACTCAGTAACCTCTTGTGTCTTAGCGGCTTCATCGCCTTACTTGAAGTGAAATAATTTTAAAAAGTCCAGATATACGTTTTAGTCAGGTAGCATATTCTCTAATAAATATTTTTTTTAGTGTGTAAGCTGCCAGTTAAAATTTAGGTTCTTTTATTTAATAACTGGGTAGAATTGAGGAAAGTTAGTATTGTCAATCTCTTCTCCTAGAACAGCCTTCAAAACCTTGTTACTACATGAGTTATTTACTCTGTCTCCCCACTAAGACGAATTGTGACACAAAGTCAGTTTTTAAGGTGGGGACCCGAGCGCGTACACCCGGGCCAGGAACAAAAATTGCCCGCAACCGTTGGTTGCGCTGACCTCGATGCAAGCACCGATCCCTTTCTCTGTTGCAATGAGAGGGCGCAGCCTCGGGTAGCTGTTCCCCAGGACTGGGCACCTCTCAGTATAATTTTCCTCAGTTGCGATTCTGTCCTTTGACGGAGTTGGCCCTGAGAGAACTCTGCCTAACGACAGAGACGCAACTGAGAGATGATAAATAATCTGTTGTAAACCACTTCAAAGGGCGGCTTACACACTCATCTTGTTCCTACACTATAGCTTCTACTATTTATTTTTTCACTCTATTCCTTTCAATATTCCACTTGAATTTTTTCTTTTCTCATATTTCCCAAACATATCTGTGTCCATATGTATCTATGGATGCATGTAAGTGCCCGCACATAAAATATATATAAATAAGTTAGTGTTTACGCAGAATGTATCCAAGCTTATATGTAGGTGCGTGCGTGGGTGTCCAAAAAGAGGAATCAGCTCTCCATTCACATATCCTGAAACATGTCATTTCTTGTAGAGAAACTCCTCCATCCCTGATACCAATCATGTCCAGACATGTATAGACACTTACATACGTTAGTCTGCTTTATGCTTACACCTACAAGTCGCTCTCTCTCTCTCTCTCTCTCTCTCTCTCTCTAACATACGCATAAACACACACACACGCACGCACACACAAACACACACACGCGCGTGCGCACTCACACACACACACACACGCACACACACACATATATATATATATATGAACGTCTACACATATATACATACTAAAATTTAAATAAAGGCTTATACATACATTTTGTGGGTAGAATCTCTGAGTGATACCAAATCGGTCGGGTTTCGATCCCGACTTTCCATTTCTCGCTGCCGTCCAACGATAGCCTAAAGGTAGTATCTCTGATTGATGGCAAATCGTTCGGGTTTCGATCACAGGTTGAAGCAATCGAACGTTTAGCCACACTGAAGAGCTGTGATACAGCGAAACAGTCTGTCTGTTCATTGTTTTTAAAAATCGTTTTTGCATTGACAAGCCCCAGGCAGAATATCCCGGTGGTGAAATGGCCATCTGAATGTGATAATAGAGTTTCATTTTTTTATGTAATCCATATATATATATATATATATATATATATATATATATATATATGTGTGTGTGTGTGTGTGTGTGTGTGTGTATATATATATATATATATATATATATATATATATATATATATATATATATCAGGATATTGAAATTTTCAGATTTAAGAAATAGCAGATATTTTAATATATAGTGCCAATATTAAAAATATAAGAATAAATTTTAAAATAGAACATTAATAATATTATATAAAAATATTACTAAACTTTTAATATCAATTTTCTGTTGTTTTCCTTGACTTAAATTTGATATTTAAAAGTTATGTAATGTTTTTATATAATATTATATATGAGGATATATATTTGATCTGCAACGATCGATTCTACGTATTGATATCTCAAATTCCGATACCAGTTCAGACAGTTAAAAGCCTGCATCCTTATTTAATAAAGGTAGTTTAATGTTAGCCGTTTCCTTTGCTACTTTCAGTTTAAATTCGTAAAATCTTCGTATTAAAACAGTTTTCAGGAAAATAGGTCCCGCAAGTTTCGTAAATGTTATCGCTCTTTACAGGATTGATGGAGGTTTCCTTCTTAACCTTTTGCTTGGAGTAGTGTGGAATATCAACATCTGAATAATATCATGATTTTCTCACCGATTTAAAGGTGCTATAGCTTATAGATGTTACTGGCGTTACTAAGAAGTTGATTGTATGCAATAGTGCTTGTGTATTATCGTCATCATAATCATACTCATCCCCTTGACTTTTATAATCGTAGGGATGGGGGTCCGAATACAGAAGCTACACTGAATTTCCTCCACAACGGTCTATCAACAGCAGCCACCAACAATTCTGGTATAGTCATACCTGTCCATTGTTTCACATTGAACACAAAACGTACATACATACACATAGATATATATGTTTATATATATATATATATATATATATATATATATATATATATATATATATATATGAAAAAAAATACAGAAAAAAAAAATTCTGAATATGCATTATTAATGTTAAAATAAAGTCGACGTCGGACGTTTCGGTCTATTTAAGACCATCTTCATGGACATTTTCATTTAAACATAATTAACATTATAACTTATAACAATTTAACACAAAAAGACGATGGACATAAGAACCCAACTAATTCAAACAGACAACTGGAAATTTTATACAGATGGACAAATATGATCACGTAGTCGTCTCGTGGGCGATTTTCATTCG